ACTGCAGTTTGATTCAATTCTGTCTCAAAAGATGAGCATTCTGTGTAGTTTTCGCTGGCACAGAAACATCACCACTTTCATGGTGACCCATTTGCTGTGGAGCTGGAAATGCGGCAAACTACAAATAATAAATGAAAGACTAGTAGTTAAACCCTATTTACAGTGCCATTTATTCAGAGTTATATATGTATAAAGTACAGTTACCACAGAAAATAAATTGTGCATAGATCCCTCGGTATCTAAAAAAAAGTTATGAAATATTTACAACTAAACAGTGTTGCTAAATTTGTTTAACAAGCACGCGTGCACACACATGTATATTTGTACCAATTTCAACAGATGTAAGTTTAAAATTTGTATGTGAACTGTAAACATTATTCACTTTACACTTTGCCTTCAAATGACACATATTATTCACTTCAAACTTTGTTTACAAACAACAAATATGTTTCACTTCACAGTTTGTATATAAGGCAACAAAAATGATTTACTTTACAATTTGTTACTGAATTTCAATTATGATTCACTTTACACTGTCTATGAAAAAAAATTCTTTAAACTTTGTTTACAGTATTCAAACCAACAAACTTTACCCTTTGTAACTTTACCCTTTGTACCCTTTACCAGTAAATATAATTCAACCATGTGCTATAGAAAAATATTGTGTACATGTGTGTATATGTATGTGAATGCTTGTGTGTGAGAGAAAGACAGGAGGAGAGAGAGAGAGAGGAGAAAGGGTTAACAATACTAACAATTATACAAACAAAAATAATATATATATACATATATATATATATATATATATATATATATATATATATATATATATATATATATATATATATATAGCTATGCCTGACCACGCGTTGCTATGGCATATTTTGCCTAAATGGAAAAGAAAGAAAACAGAAATTGCGCGTGTCTCATATGGTTAATGTCGCAATCATTGTCTGCGCAAATATAGAGATAGCCTTGGATGCCCCCCCTTCCCTTCCCTCAAATCCACCAATTACTCTCTAACTCATCAAAGGTTTTTTTAAAAGAAAGAAAATATAAATCGCACATGTCTAATATGGTTAATGTTGCAATCATTGCCTGGGCAGATACAGAGATAATCTGGTTTACCGACTCAAGAACATGCAACATATAACTGTGTCATTATAGTGGTCGTTTAAATTGTATTATAAGGACTTCTAATTATGGTTATTTGGTTATCACATTCTAAAGCTGTTTGTATTTTTTAAAGAGCCGGAAATAAAGCTTACTACTGTACTTTCAAATCCCACACACACACACACACAAAATGATAATAACTGAGGTAGCTTTAGTAAAATAAAACAAATTAAGAAATGAAAACTTTAAAATCATGTGTTAAGCTCTTTAAGTTAACAATTTCTGTCATCACCCTCCCCTCCCCCATCCACTGACTACTGCTCTCTTCCTCTTCGAAGGATTTGAAACTCATCACCTGACGACATTTTTTGTAACTGACCTTGATATCCTTGTCCATCCGGACTAAAATGGGAAACAGGAATTGTAATGAGTAGTAGATGTGGCTAATGTAATATTTACCACATCATCCTTCTAGTACAATAACAACTACTACCAGCACCACCACAGTAACTAAAACAATGACACTGTTATCTCTTTTAGCATCGGAGTAGACAGAGAATTTGGCACCGCATGGCTAGTACTGTCGCCATGGACTGGTCAGGTTAGGATGTATAATTTCACTCCCCGACAGAAAAACGCTATCACCTTACCGGCGGTCTCCAGCATAACAGCACTACGGTGTAGCCGCTCAACCACAACTACTACTATTTTGAGTGGGTAAGGCAGTTACTGTGACTTAAAGCTCCCCCTCCCCCCCACCCCCCCCCCCCCCCCCCCCCCCCCCCAATTCACCGACTACTCTTTCCCTCATCGAAGTAGTTGGGAGAAAAAAAACCAAGTGGAAAGCAATGAAAACAGGATAAATACACCATAATTACAAAATTAATGCTATGGTAAACAACACAGCCTAATTTCAATGCAATGTCAGACAAAATAAATGGAAATCTATGAAAATTCAGCGTAACCATGCAATCAGAAAGTTTAAAATGAAATTATAAGTATGCGAAAATGGTTTACCCACATTCCTATTTTATTTTTGTTGTTTTTTTGTGTGGTTAGAATTAAGGGCCACATTGCTAGTGCTGTCGCCATGACAGTGCAGGTGAGGATTTATTTTGCCCCCGGGTTTTTAAAAAAAATCAAATCCCCTACTGGGGATTCGAACCCTGGTCTCCCGCACAGGAGCCCAGTGTCTGACCATTCAGACAACCAACCACTTCTTCTGTGCAACGAAAAGAGAACATAACTATTTGAGATATGTGTCCTGACTACTGTGTCCCGATTCTAACACAACTCAAAACCGCAGGCAATTGTTTTCTCATAGACAGATATCCCAGATATAAACTTAAAGTAATATTGAAACAGCACAACAATAGAAATCGCACGTGTCTAACACGGTTAATGTCGCAATCATTGTCTGAGCAGACACTGAGAAAGTCTTCGATCAATGCAGCCCTTCCCCCTCCCCCTTCCTCAAATCCACCAACTACTCTCTAATTCATCAAATGTTTAAAAAGAAAGAAAATAGAAATTGTGTCTAATATGGTTAATGTTGCAATAATTGCATGCACAGATATAGAAATAGTCTGGTTTGCTGTACCACGCCGGCTATTGGTGGAAGTTGTAGTTCCGACTACTGCGCACGCACGAACGTGGCTTTAATTAAATGTCACTAAAATAAAAATATTTTAATAACAAATGTCGCCACCTATTTCAAACCATGACAGGTAAATTTCCAGTATCAAAACAAACATATCCTGAAAATTTCAGCTAAATTGGTTTAGTTGTTTCCGAGTCTATAGGTAATAAACAAACACACAAACATTGATTTTTAATATATATAGATATATATTGAGCAAAATAAACGCAAATGAAAAAATAATTTTCTTATCTTTCAACATGTTTACAAATAAAATGGAACACAAATTGTATGTAGTTTAGGTTTCTGTGTAAATATTATAAATTTTCCACCCCTTAAATCAAACCAAAAATAGAAAAAAAAATGGTTTGATCTGATCACTGTGAATGCAAGGCCACACACACACTATTTGTCATGATACAAAAAAAAGCCACGGACAGACAGAAAATATCAATAAGAAAAGCTGCAAACATCTCATGGCTGTAAAAAGGTGGTTTTCTGAAGAACAAAATTGCAACAACAAAAACGTAGGCTGACCAACTCTCTATGTGTTTCTGAGTCAATTTGAGAGGGGAAAAGAATAGACTGCACCCCACCCCCAAAATCGCATCAAGCTTGTCTTTAAAGTCGACACATTGTGAGCGTTTCCTTCAAAGTCAGAGTGCATCTGCCAGAGATGTGAGGAACTAATAGTCTGCATACCAATAAGCAAGATCCATAAAATAGATGTGCATGCAAAATTCAAGTTATGAAACAAAACCAGACCAAAGCCAAAGTCCAAATGGATGAACAACCAGGACTTTCTGCTGGAAATTACAGCCGGTGAACAAAGAAGAAGATCCTTGGTAAGGGATGGATATTTTTTTGTTGGGAGCATAGCAAAAATCCCAGCCTACCCAGTTCATGGTGACTGCATTAGCAATGCAGCCTTTAATCCTCAGATATCCCTAGCCTACAGCACTAAGTGGTGAAAACAGGCAAATAGAAAGGCAGCTTCTCTCAAATAAAAACCCAGCATAATTAACCACACAGCCAGCCACTCTTCAGTTTAAACAAATAAATTATGTTCCATCTCCGCAAACACGGTTGGCTAGCTACATTGCAGCTACTGCTGTCCTGGGGATATTACGTGGTGAAGCTCCTGTCTCTTATAACTACAAACTGGAAACTAACAATGTGCTGTTCCCATCTCTTAAACTACAAACTGGAAACTAACAATGAGCTGCTCCTGTCTCTTATAACTACAAACTGGAAACTAACAACGTGCTGCTCCTGTCTCTTATGACTAGAAACTGGAAACTAACAACGTGCTGCTTCTGTCTCTTATGACTAGAAACTGGAAACTAACAATGTGCTGCTCCTGTCTCTTAAACTACAAACTGGAAACTAACAATGTGCTGCTCCTGTCTCTTAAACAACAAACTGGAAACTAACAATGTGCTGCTCCTGTCTTTTAAACTACAAACTGGAAACTAACAATGTTCTGCTCCTGTCTCTTAAACTACAAACTGGAAACTAACAATGTGCTGTTCCTGTCTCTTTAACTACAAACTGGAAACTAACAATGTGCTGTTCCTGTCTCTTGAACTATAAACTGGAAACTAACAATGTGCTGTTCCTGTCTCTTGAACTATAAACAGGAAACTAACAATGTGCTGTTCCTGTCTCTTAAATTGGAAACTAACAATGTGCTGTTCCTGTCTCTTAAACTACAAACTGGAAACTAACAATGTGCTGTTCCTGTCTCTTAAACTACAAACTGGAAACTAACAATGTGCTGTTCCCGTCTCTTAAACTACAAACTGGAAACTAACAATGTGCTGTTCCTGTCTCTTGAACTATAAACTGGAAACTAACAATGTGCTGTTCCTGTCTCTTGAACTATAAACTGGAAACTAACAATGTGCTGTTCCTGTCTCTTGAACTATAAACTGGAAACTAACAATGTGCTGTTCCTGTCTCTTGAACTATAAACTGGAAACTAACAATGTGCTGTTCCTGTCTCTTGAACTATAAACTGGAAACTAACAATGTGCTGTTCCTGTCTCTTGAACTATAAACTGGAAACTAACAATGTGCTGTTCCTGTCTCTTGAACTATAAACTGGAAACTAACAATGTGCTAAGTAGATCTACACCTTTTGATTAAGATCTTGCTTCACTTTATCACAACAAGTTGAATGAGCATTTAAAATTAATATGAAAACAAAAGATAAATATCATGGTGGGACATGCAGCAGGTTGGATTATTTTACTGCATCCGAACTCCAGCTTAAGGCATTCTCAAATCCATTCTGTCCACTTCGGTAATCAACGAAGGCCTGTCTGATTTCTTCCTGAGTGGTCATCACAAATGGACCTGTGAGAAAAGGTAAGCAGAGAAAATATAACAAACTTGGAAGTTTAAGAGTCTGTGGAGAGACAACTAATACAAGCGTTATGCACTACATCTTACACATAAAGAATAAATACAGTCTACATTCTTTATCTCATAGGTAAGTAACGAATACACACTCTGTATACTACAATTAATAGAAAAATAACAGCAGTATTGCACCATAAGTGAAAGATTTGAACTCAGGAACTCCCTGTGTGGGTTCCGGAGCCCCATCTTGGAGGAAATAAGAATAGACCCCCAACCTGCAAGCATGTTGTACATGGTGACTAATTAGAGATGTATCCTTCAAAGTCAGAGTGCATCTGCCTGAGAGGCAAGGAACCAACAGTCTGCATGCATATACACCATAATTGTAAAACAGAATATGCATGAAAAACTCAACTTCAAAAACAGAACCAATGTCCAATGGTTGACGAACAACCAGAACTTTCCGCCAGAGTTTACAGCTGGTGGAAGTGAAGAAGAGGAAGAAGAAGAATGCGGCTTACCATGTTGTACAACAGGTTCCCCGATTGGTTGCCCAGCAATCAGCACAAAGTGACACACCTCTGATCCCTGAAATATAAACATAGTTAATCAAGTACGACTTAAGTACTATGATTTTTCTTGCTTTTCAAACTAACAAAATATATTTATCTTTGTGTCCACTGCTGGTTACAAATGATGGCTGCTACTGCTTCCTCTTCTTCTGCCCCTCCTATTTTCTTTCTTCCTCAATCTCTTTCTATTCTTCCTTATTTTTTTCTTATTCCCTCACCTCTTTCTATTCTTCCTTATTTTTCTTCTCCCCCACCTCTTTCTATTCTTTCTTATTTTTCTTCCTTCCCCTCCACTTTCTACTCTTCTTTATTTATCTTCCTTCCCCTGCTCTTTCTACTCTTCCTTATTTTTCTCCCCCCCCCCCCCCAACTTCTTTCTGCGCTTCCTTATTTTCTTTATTCCCCACCTCTTTCTACTCCTCCTTATTTTTTCTTCTTCCCCCACCTCTTTCTACTCTTCCTTATTTTTCTTCTCCCCCCGCCTCTTTCTACTCTTCCTTATTTTTCTTTCTTCCCCACCTCTTTCTACTCTTCCTTCCCCACCTCTTTCTACTCTTCCTTATTTGTCTTCTTCCTCAATTTCCTAATGTAAGATTACTGCAAGAATGATCTGGTTGCTCCAGTCCACCATGTTTCAGTTCTTTTAGATCCAGTTTCAAAGAGACTGATGCTATAGGTAGACAACATCCAGAAATGTGCTGGAAGAAGCTTCCATAAATGCAATAAATGCAGCTCACTCTAACTAAATGTAAGATCAACATCACATTTTATGTTTCTACATTTTTATCGCTGAATCTCTTAAGGAACTGAGACATACATATTACATTTGTTTACAATCCTTTATTTAACACATTTCAATCAAATTTAAACACATTTTAAAATTCTTTTGTCATATTAACAAAGTGTTTTATTTCTGTGTTTTATTTATATATTTTAAACTTAATATTGAATAATATGTATTAAAACTTTTCTACACATGGTTAGTGCCTTGAGGGAGAGTGTGTACAGTTCGGAAGAGCAGATGGATCACCACAGTCTGGTGAGATTGATGCAGCTCGGAGTCACGAGAGGTTCTGGCAGATGCTCGAGGCTCATAGGAAAGGCAGAAAGCTACTGGCACCATTAGTATCAGAACTCTTCGATGGCAATGACAGATGGGGACGGAGCACTTATGGGAATGCCCCGAGTGCTGTGATGTCGGTTCTTGAATCTTGAATCAAATCATTACACTGGATTTGTTCTTGTGGGCACAACCGATTTATGTAAGTTCTTAACAACTGTAGATTATCTTAGAATAAGAATATTGCTGTTGGCACCTTTTCATCTTTCCTCCAGACGACAGTGTACTGTGCTATGGAGAGGCATGGAATCACAGGTCATGGCGAGTGTGACTAGTAAGACCTGCTACCTTTAAGAAAAGTCTTCCACAATTACAGCACAGGATTTTCAGGACCATTGTTGCCATGTACATGCATTTAGTGTGTTATATTAGTGTGCTTATTTCAACTTGATTTAAGGGGTGCTGAATTTATAATATTTATACAAGAACCTAAATTACATACATTTTGTGTTCCATTTTATTTGTAAACATGTTGAAAGATAGGAAAATTATTTTTTTATTTTGCTCAATGTATATATTCATTATTTGTGTTTGTAAAAATGTTAGTATTGTTAACCTCTCTCTCTCCCCTCTTTCTAGCTTTCTCTCACACACAAGCATTCACACCCATATACTCACAATCTTTTTCTGCTTATTCTCAGAAGCTCAGAACTCAACCTATCTTTAATCACTGTTTCTTTTATTTTAATTCTCTTCCTGATTTTACCCCTCCACACAACACCCTCCATGAGATTTTATTCCCATTAACACTCAATACCTGTACCATTCATGTCCTGCTTGCTGTGACCAATCAACACTTTATTGGCTGAGCGCTGCCCAGCTTGAGGCGGGCAGTAGCTTATCAGTGATATTCTAAAATGTCTGCGGCCGCCAGAAACAGCCCATGTCACCCTCATCTATGCCAACTGACAAGGACTTAGAACCCGTAACTGCTGCCTCTTGATTTGTTTCTGAGAACAATTAAGACTAGGTATGAAGTTCCTCTTCTCCACAGCACAAAGTCTGGGCAGTAAACAGACCCTGAATATATATTTACCATACACTACCTTAGATATCAAACTAACTAATAAATCAGGTGCCATCTCCACAAAGAAACTTGGCCACAATGGATCTTTCAATTACTCTTTTTCTAGGTTTTTTTTTTCCTGGTGATATGCAATGGTAGGCAGTACCATCCCTTTTTTTTTGGTTTCTATGAAATACAGCCTATTCTTTGACATATCTAGGACACCAATTCGATAACTTGACTAAGCTGTATGTAAGCACTCACACAGACACAAATATACACATAAATATATACACATAAATATATATACACACACACACACATATATATATATATATATATATATATATATATATATATATATATATATATATATATATATATATATATATATATATATTTTGCAACAGATTAAGTAAAAATATACACCTTATTCTGTGCACGGACTACTTCTCCATCATTATTGAAAACTGTAGTGTGCTGTGCTTTTAAAAAGTACCTGATAGTCATGGTAAAGTGTCTGTTAAAGTAAGGCTGAAAAAATTAGGCCTAAATGTCGGACACTTTGCGGTGACTGTTAGGCACTTTTTAAAAGACACTCTGGGGTGACTATTGGCATTTTTTTTATTCATAAAAAACAAAGCCATTTTCAGTCTCTCTATAACATTTGCATTTTATTACTTTGGTTTCTATGAAATACAGCCTATTCTCTGATATATCTAGGACACCAATTCGATAACTTGACCAAGCTGTAGTAAGCACTCACACAGACACAAATATACACAGAATTATATACACACATATACACAAATATACACATAATTATATACACACATATACACACACACATATACATATAGTGTGCAACAGATTAAGTAAAAATATATACCTTATTTTGTGCACGGACTACTTCTCCATCATTATTGAAAACTGTAGTGTGCTGTGCTTTACACAGCTTCTCACTGCCAGCAGGACCTAAGAATGTACACAAGACATGAATGTACACTTTGAAGTCATAAACATAAACATATTTGTCAGTGGTCAAGTTCCAACTTAACTGCAGATGGGCACCGCATAACTGCTCCGTTCCCGTGCCAAAAGAATTCACACAAAATGTCCCTTATTGTCCCATTAGAAAACTAGTGAAAAACATGTCAGTCCCAGGAAATCTTGAAGCTAACACATATAAAGTTAATGCATAAGGCAGCTGTCAGATGTGCCAACACAAACAGTCCCATACAAGATACAGTATATGTTTTGAAGATTGCACTGACTTCTCTAGGGGGTATATGGTGGTTGCTGCACTTTATGCCAGGCAAATGACAGAAGTTATGCTCAAAATAATAACAGAACGATGGGCAATATAAATACAAAAAGATAGGCCATGACAAAGACATTATAATGTTCACATCACTTTCAGATAGTTTGGGCATTTTTTTTTAGCAAGTGTATCCATACCCTTTTGCAATTTGGTAACCAAATGATTTGGGAACCCCATGATAAATAAGATCAAAGGAAGTAAAAGTACCTCTACAACAAAATCTACTGACTGCTATTTCCACTTTCTATAGTTCACATACTTCTACAACAAAATTTAGTGCCTGCTATTTGTAATCTCTGTAACTATAAATACTTCTATAACAAAATCTAATGGCTCCTATTTCTGATCTCTATAACTATTAATATTTCTACAACAAAATCTAGTGCCAGCTATTTCTAATTGCTTAAACAAAATCTACTGTCTGGTATTTCTGATCTCTATGACCCAATAAATCAAGATGCCTTGTTCTGTGTTCATCCAAAGATGTAAATGTCTTGTGTCCGTTTACAACATGGCTGCAATATTTACACCTTTTGGTTGAGACATCCAACTTCTGCAATCACTTGTTGCCGAGGTTAGCCTTCCCCGCAATCAAGATTTCACTCACAGAATAATCAGAATAACAAATATTAAGCTACATACCAAACCAAGCTTCTCCTGAAAGGATGTAAACGAAAGCGTTCCAATCTTTTGGGACAGGCTGTTCTAACTGTGAGCCAGCTGACATTTTAAAGTCCAGGTAAGTTGTAGGAGTTCGTGTATAGACTGGAGACTGTAATTGAAAGACAGTGATTGTTTCAGAATATAACTGCTAAAAATATTATCAATAGAGAGATACAATAAATATTCTTTGGTCATGTCATGAGAAAGAGAAAACTGGAGTACATCATGACAGTGGACAAATGGGGGGGGGGGGGGGGGGTTGAGGAAATACAAGGAGATGAAGGAAGAGGATGCTGGACAGTCTGACATCATGGCATGGATGATCATCTGCATCAGAAAGTGCTGAAAGCACATGAGACAAAACAACGTGCACAAAACAAACAAATTACCGTTTTAGCCGGGGCCTTTCACGACATGAAATAACTACACAACATCTAGTTTGAGAATGGAGGTGGAGGCAGTCACTGCTGCCTTCCGCTTGCTTGAGAATCAGCTGTTCACACATGCCATGACTGTAACTGACTCACAGAGCATGTTGAGAAAGGTGGAGACAGGCATGCTCCGTGCAGAGTGGCAAGCATCACTTCAGAGTCAGAGGTCCCGGGTAGTTAGCATCGTTTGGATATTTTCTCCAGGTCATGCGGATGTGTTGGGAAATGAGCAGGCAGATAGACTGGCCGGTTCTGCACCGCTTGGTGGTGAAATGATGTATGACAGGCTGAATGTTGTGAGGGTTCTTTGGGAGCGATTAAACAGTGCGGAGGCACAGATAGATCATTACGGTCTGGGGAGAGTTACAATGGGATCTGGCCGGCGCTCAACACTCAGGGGAAAGGTGAAACATATACAATCAGACAGTTACTGGTACCATCAGAATCTCCAACTCTTTGCTTGCTGCTGAAGAAGGGGACAGAGCGCTTATGGGGGTGTCCCGAGTTTTGTGATGTCAATTCTTAATTCAACTTTCAACTACAACAACAACTTTCTGCTCCCCCATTTCGTTAAGATATTTAGTTGCAGTTCACCGGATTAATATCTTGGTATTAGCTTGACTGCAGTCACCCCCTGTTTTTAAAACTTTTTGTTAAGGGGCAGGAGATCTATTCTTTGGGGCCTAGAACCCATAAGGACATTCTTTATGATCTCACAGCTGGTTAGCTTTTATGGTAAATGTTTTATTTACAGTTTGGGCTGGTCAACTTCAAGGCCAGCCCTGTCCTCAGTTACATCTTAGGACAGGCTTGGTAGCGTGTAGTGTTACCATACTTTGCTTCGCTTAAGAGCTCCACTAACACATGAGTGGCCTGTATGTTACAGGGACCCATAATGGAAATCAAGAATAGTTACACTGTAATCTTCCATATATGTCCCAAGAGAGGATGAAGCAAGGTTGGCATGAAACTGGTAACATCATAAAGAACACTTCAGCCACAAACCTAATAACATATTTACACACACACACACACACACACACACACACACACACAAACCAGGATGTATTCATCAGACAAAAATGGACTGTATCCCTATGCACTTCATGAAAACCTGGCCTAATCTTTGTGCTTTGGGTATGATCAATAAAGAACAGGTATCATCAGTAATTGTATGCTTGTGGAGCTACTGAGACAGAGACCGGAGCACCTATGGATCTGTCCAGAGTGCTGTGATTTAATTCTCACTAATCCCTATCACTAAACACCAATAACACATGAGTGGGCTGTGTGTTACCAGGGCCCACAAAGGAAGTCAAGAAAAGTTTGGTAACTCATTTAAAACTTGCGATGCAAATCCAACCAATCATCAATCTTAAGTAAGTACATAGTGCAGTTAGCATAAATTATTAAGTTTAAATGTAGAAGCAGCAGGAGAAAAATAAGAAAAAAATTACATGAGGCTGTCTTTCTATTGGTGTGAAGATGGCAACTTCATTACCATCACCATCATCATTCTGTGTACCGTTAGACGTCACATAGGGCATATTCGAAACCCCCACTCTGCTCTATTGCTTGCAACTCTCTCGATTTTTGACATGGAGTTCAGCCCTGTATTTTTAACCTTCAGTAATAATGTTCTTTTTAATGTTTTCCTTGGACGTTCTCTTTTTTCTCAGTCCGTTAAGTGCTTGCTTTGTAATTCTTTGCTCATTTCGTCTCAGTTGAGCCCAATATATTTCCACCTTCTTTGTCTCACTGCAGTCGATACAGGCATCTGTTCCGAGATTTCTCTGATCTCTTTGCTTTTTATAATTCATCCCATTTTATGTTCATGATTTTTCTCAGACGTTTATTTTCAAATGCATTTAACTTTTGTTCTATATCTTTGATGGTTCCCTAACTTTTGCTGGCATATGTTAGAATTTAAATAGCATTAGAACTGAAGATTTGTAGGTTGGTCTTAAAGTTGTGTAACTTACAGCTCCATATTTTGTAAGGGCTTTTTAAGACTGATGTTGCTTTGCAAGTTAATGGAAAAGAAAACCACATCATTAGGTTTTCTCTAGGGCTAAACCGAATATTCGCTTTGTATTCGCTTCGGGGCCAAATAGTGGACCTATTGACTATTCAGTATTTGGCCGAATAGTTGCAGTCTGGCCAAATACGAATAGTAGTTACCTTACACACGCTTCTGCATACATTGCCTTAATGCTGACAACATGGAACGATTGGTTTTGTACAAAGCTAATGCAGCTTTCCTGCATTAACTAAGCTGTCAGTGACAATTTCCAAGTTTAGTTACTTGTTATAATACTTAGGATTCTTTCATTCCTAGTTATTAGTTAGCACAGACTGACTGATGGATGCAAAACATAAAATGTTTTTGAATGTTTACTATTCTGTACGAATACTAACTAGACATGGAAAGAATATAAACTCTGGCCACATCCAAGTCGATAAGTACTTGGGTGCTAACTTCAATTGCTCCAACATGCTGAGAGAAGAAATCCAATCTAGAATACAATCTAGAAATAAAGTATACTATGCCTTTCAACATCTGCTAAAGTCATAGTGCCGTCTCGCAACATCAAGATAATATATATAAAACGTTCATAAGACCAGTCGTTTTATATGGCTCTGAAACTTGAAGCAGAAATAAAAGAGATGAGGCCTTATTACAGGTTTTCGAAAACAGTCTTACGACAAATCTTTGGACCCATCAAAGATGCAAACAGCAGGTAAAGGAGAATGAGAAGCAACAACGTAACACATAATCTGTTTAAATCACCACTGATCACTGGCATCATAAGAGCTAACACACTAAAATGGTTGGGGCATATTAAAAGAATGTCAGATGACAGAGAAGTTAAAAACTGTATACACCTGAGAGAGGAATGGGCGTAGACCCAAGGCAGACACACACACAAAAAAGAACTTCAAGAGATAATGTCCAGCCAGACCTGCAAACAACTGGTGTCACAAATTGTAAAGATAAGGCCAGCCAGAGAGATGAATGAAGACAGGTGATATATGCAGCAGTAAACCTCAAGGGCTCAGAATGCTAAAGAAGAAGATGACTATTCTGTGCTACTTTATGTGAAGTAAAAGTTCAGCGTACATTTGATATTGTAAATTTTTTAGACACATTTTATACACTAAACAATATTCATATTCGCCAGAATAGTTGGTCCCATATACAAAAATCACTATTCGGTACAGCCCTAGTTTAAATTACATCGAACAGATGGCAGAGCAAACGATGGTTTTGAAAGAGGTGGGAGTGATGACCACTGGAAAGATCTGTGGAAGGAGGGATAGAGGAAGACAATGACAGAAGATTCTTAACATTCTTTTCGCATGGCATGGAGCTGTGTCAGCACACGAACTAACACATGCTGCAGGAGATCATAGATTGTGGTGGGGCATAATCGCCCACGTCAGTCGGCAAGGCACCGGATGATGATGATGATATACTATTTGCATTAGTATTCGGCCGAATAGTTGGTCGCACTATTCGTATTCGGCCGAATAGTGAAAATCACTATTCGATACAGCCTTAGTTTTCGCTAACCAAGCAACTTGTAATGAATAGTCCTCATGTGGATTCTGAGGCTCCATTTGCAATGGAAAGGGGAGGGGAGGGAAGAATAGGCCTTCTTCCCTCATAACAAGCATGTCGTGAAAGCCTAAAAATGCAGGCCTTTCTTTTAAAGTCAGTGCATCTGCCTAAGAGGAGAGGAACCAGCAGTCTGCATATAAATAAGCCAGATCTGTAACACAGATGTACACACAAAACTCAAGCTATGGATCAAGACCAAAATGCAGAAGTAGATGAACAACCAGATCTTTCCATCAGTGTTTATAGTTAGAAAACATGGAGAAGAAGCAATGAATAGCAGAAGATAAAAGAAAGAAGAAAGGAAAGTGACTTACTTTGATGCCAAAAGCCTCTCCAGCAATGACCTTGACCTTGACACCGTTTTTTTCACCCTTCGGGATATCTTTGTCTAAGAGCTCCTGATAAGAAGGCGGGATCATCTTATCTGCTCTCTTAAGGTTGACCCACAGCTGAAGTCCTTGGGCTTCTTCTTTTCCGGGCATTTCACAATGAACAATTCCACGGCCAGCAGTCATCCACTTGGATAATAAATAAAAAACAGAAAGTTTTTATCACAAACTGGAGGAAAAGCAGTGTCCAGAAAGTAGAAAAACTGCAAGTTACTAGAATCAAAAACATCTCTTTTTTATCGAAAGCATTTAAAGTATATCTCAACTCTTCTTCTTCTGTTTGTGTTGGCTTTCTGATTTACATAGATAGATAAGTTCTTTTGATAAATTTGACTGTTTAGGAGTTCCTTTTTTGTCCTATACAACTCTGAATGCAGTGTTGATTCAAGGGACAGTATAAGCTTAGCTCATCTCAATTTATAAGGAAATACTGCATAGATTATTCTTTATTTGGGTGGTATTATACTTACGTTATTTCATATAAACAAGCAAAGGGTCTTTTTTCTTGCTGTAAGGCTTCATGCAAGGCTTATTCAACTAAGTTTTTTTCAGGGGCCAAAACTTACAAAATGTCATGGGCCAGATGCCCAAGTTCCAGCAATGAAAGATCATTGATACAACTGGCAATGATCCGCGTGCCACCTGCCAGACCTCCAGGGGCCAGATTTGGCCCGCAAGCAGCCAGTTGAAAATCCCTGACTTAATGGATACACAATGCTAGTCTTATATTTATTACAGGCCAATCAGCAATGAATGAATGATGTGGTTAATGTCATGTTGGCCACCTTTACCTTCCAGAAAATCTTGTAAATCTTTTAAATTGAGTCAGTCTGCGAGATATGGTCCCATTTTTTTAAAAATCCCCTTGGCAAATGTAATACTAACTAAAAAATGTGTTCCCTTTAATGTGTCTTTGTCGTGAAATGGTAGAGGGCCTTGTGTGCTCCAAAGGCCTGAAAAGTAAGGCCGATGACAGCTTAACTATAGGCAGAGTTTGCTGTACTGGACAGGTCAAAGAATAATGACTTGGTGAGGAGACACAAACCTTCCACTTTGTAGGTAGATACAGGATAGTCAAAGGCTAGAAGGACAGCAAATTCACAAACGTCGAAATCAGATGTTCTGAGCCATAAACTTAAGGAAACAGTGGAAATGTACCTCATTTCATGATTAAAAAGATTCAACCAAGTCTTAACCCATTCGCTTTGCAAATGCAAAAGAAAATGTGATTAAGAACCCAAGGGAATTCCTGGAAAAAATCCTTTCCTTTATTTTTTTTTTAAAACACACCATATTATATAGGTCAGGGAAGATACTGGAAGCGAGGTCTACATGCATATGGCTGGCCCTGATTCTAATGACGGCATCAACCATCTAACAAGGTGGGACCTGGCCATCATCTTTAGACTCAGAACACAAGATACTCCACTCAATTGGCAACAGAATACAGCCACAACACAGCCCAGAGTGCCAGCTATGTAACTACCCCTACAAAACTGTTGACCATCATCTCTTTCAGTGCCCAAAACTCAGAAAGACTAGAAGAACGCTACTCCTCCGAGACCAGACAAGTGGAACACCTTGTGAAAACATGTAAATTCCACTACATGGCATTGGGTCAAAGTGCGAAAACTCATGCGCCGATGGATCAATAACAAGAACATAGGTCATTTTTTATTATTATACATTTATTTTTCTACATTTTGACAGTTTTTTTTTTTTTCAAAATATTTAAAAATGTATAAAAGAGGTAATCAATAATCATGAACAGAGTGAAGCATTTAAAGGAACACATAGTCTGGGGCATAACAACAACATATATTCAGTGATTCATGCCATGATCCCTTGACCTTTATCACTGAGGCTTATGGGAAAATTTTAAAAGGAACTTGGTTTTAACAAAGCCAATGGTGTCATAATGAAGTTCACTCCCCCCCCCCCCCCCCAATTTAATATATCCAAATCATAGCCTATTAAATAATGTACAGACACGCAGAGAACCAATGGAATTTGACTATGCTTTTTGAGAACAAGCCACCGAAGACAGGCCGATACATTTATGTCACAACAGGAAGGGACTAGATTTAGTCTTCTTGAATTGAATTGAACTTAGAAAACAAAAATTGCAAAACTCCTTGACTCTTTCAGTCTGCTCCTGGTTGAGCCGTGACTATATCAAGTCCTTGTTTATGTGCTGACTCTAGGTCGTTTTGTTTCTTGAAGGCGCTTGGGTGTGCCTTGGTTACCGATTTTCTTGCTTGTCTTGGTGCGAAGTAGGCTGTATAGGTGGGGGAGGGCTAAAAGTCCTGAGAAGGACAATTAGTGAGTTCCGGGCGCGGCAGAGTGGGGGATTATCTGGCTGGAGACCTGTCGCTGTCGATCGATCATGCCTGGCTGGTTTTTGACAAGTGGGCTTTCCGGAGCGGTGGGCGTGGTTTAGGGTCTGTTCTGGTTGGCTGGTAATTTTGTGGTTTCTCGGTTCGGACAGGCACGTCTGCTGGGTGGGATTTGAACGGTTATTCTGGCTTAATTCTTTCGGCGCCTGTTCGGTGTACTATGCAACCATTGTCTCCTTTTTGTTTCTTTTATTCATTCCTCGGCAGCTTCCACCTGCTTGTAGAACTTGTACAGTTTTTACATGTAGGCTTTGCTTTCTTCGTCGAATTCGAGATTGCCTCTGGACCATATGTCGTCGTCATAGGAGATTAAGTATTCGCCTTTCTTGAGTTTGATCTTGTGCGGGATACCTTCTTGTATGTTGAAGGCTTGCACAATTTCATCTAGGCCGGCTTGGCTTATGTCCTCAAGGATTACCATTTCTTTTGTTTCATGATGGGCTGTGGCCTCGTCAGCGGCTAGGGTCGTTTCCGTGTCGCTGCATCGGTCCGTGGATCGTTCCGATTCGGCGGGCTGTTCTACGCTTTCCTCGTCGGGTTCTGAATGGTCTGCTTCTTGGTCAGGTTCATCTTCGTTTTCAGGTTCTTGGTATGCTGAGGCCACTATTTTATCGATCTTCTCAGTTTCGTGGGAGAGTTTTTCCTGTACTTGGTGGAGTTCCTGGATGATTTCGCGTGCTTCTTTAATTTCGTCTTGGATGGTGGTGAGTTTGTTAAATGCAGCAGCTTTTTCGTCCTGCAAGGCCATCAGTTTCTTGAGCTCTAGCACCGCCGCTTCTTTCTCTGATTTCTGCTGGGTTAATCTCGCGACTTCCAGGTATGTGCTTTCTCTGGCTTCTTTGAGTTCCGCCATCTCCTTCTTTCTTTCGTGCCTTTCTTCCTGTCTGTGTTTTTCTGCTTCTACTTGGGCTATTTTTAGGCTTTCGGTGAGTGCGTGGATGCTGTCTCTGATCTCTGCATCGCGCTTGTTGTTCTGAATTTGTTGGGCTTCTTGACCTGAGCTGACCTCCTTTAGAACTTTGATTTCCCTCAGCATAAGGGTGATCAGCTCGTGGGTTTCTGCTTTCTCAGCGGCGGCGGCTTCTCTCTCTTTCCGTAGTTCAGCTTTCAGCTCGGTGAGGGCGCGCACCAGCTCAGGGTCCCTGGTGGTGGCCTCTTTCCTCTCTGGGCGGGTGGAATGGCTTGCTGTGTTGCTTGGCCTGGGTGCCTCGTACCTCTGTTGGTGTCTGGGTCCGGCATTAGTCATCTCCCTCTTTATCTGCTTGAGGTACGGACATCCCAGGTACCTCGCGCTGTGTGCTCCTCCGCAGTTCGAGCATCGTCTGCTCGGGTTGGGTTTTTTGAAGTCAGTGTCCCTCTTGGCCAAGGGACACTCCTTGAATTCATGTGCTTGGGAGCAGTACCTGCAAGCTAGGCTGCTGCGGCAGGCTGCGGCTGTGTGCCACGCCTTATTGCAGCGTGAGCACTGGAGTATCTCTGGACTGGTGGCTCCCGGTCGCTGCTGCAGTTGCCTGTGTGGGCGGATGTAGGTGGGCTCCTGCGCCACGACAGGGGCGACTTCTGGCTGTGATGATGCCTCGACAGGGGCCTCATCGGAAGCTGGCGGCGTCTGGTTAGGTGTGGCTGACGTCTCGATAGGGACGTCAGTCAAAGCTGGCATTGTCTGCACCGTAGGGGCTGGTGCGACGTCAGGTGAAGTCTCCTTATTAGCCGATGTAGCTCTGGTGTCACGGCGCTGGATCGGGTTCTTCTTGCCACGGGCCATAGTGGATGTGGCTGGCAAAGGCTGTTCTGATCGGGCTGCTGTTTGATTGCTAGGTCCCTTCGGAGTCGGCAAGGCTTGTTAGAGTATCCTAAAAAGGACACTCAAGCGTGCTTTCTCCTTAGTTCTCTAGCAATCCTTCAAAAAACTGGCGGGTATGGCTGGCTCTTCAACAATGCTGTGCTCTCGGGCCGCTAATAACCCACCCGCAGATGAATAACAATAGTCTAGTCGAGCCAAAACTCAGCCGAATGTCAAGCGAGTTCTGACCAGTATCTAGCTATTGATAATCTGGCTGCGAATGGATAGTTAGCAAGCTAACGGGAGACACGTGGCTGTATCGGGCGGTATATCGAGCGAGCGAGAGAGAGAGCTGTGTGCGACTGGGCTGTCGGACTGCGAATCGTTGTCGTGTGTCGAGTCTCCGTCTAGAAGATTTAGTCTTCTCTGGGTGAGAGGGTTAAATACCTGCAGGTCTCCGGCTTGAATATCGTCCCTTGTGGCCCATGAAGTCCTGGTGTACTGTCTCACCACACAACATGTAGGTTACCTGGTGATACATGCCAGATGCATTAACAACCAAGCCAGTTATAACTCACAGTGTGCTTATATTGTAGCAGTCTGTCTGAAATAGACCTTCTCAATAACAAATAATAAAATCTGTACATTTTGCCTTTTCTGCAGCTGCTGTTGCATCTATTTCTTCTCCTTCTCTTCCTCTAGTCATGTTCGCATCCTCCTCTTCTTCTCCTTATTCTTCTTTTCCTACTCATCTACCTGTCCCCCATTTTTATCACCCTTTTTATATCTACCCTTAATCCCCCGATGTACTTGTCTATAGTTAGTTGGTTTCTGTAAATTAAGCTTTTTTTATAGGTCAAGGTAGTCCAACACCACCTCTGGTTGCCACAGGTAACCCCAGAAAAAAATTGATGTAAAATTACCCGAACAAATCAAACTTTTTTGAAAGCCGACAATGAAAAGCCCACATATGTGAGAAATGCGAGAAGCAATCTGACTGGCTGGTACGAAAACATGCCAGCCAATCCTCACAGCTTGTATTAATGAGGCCAACCAACGATCGGCCCAGTCGTCCTTTTGGCTACTTTGTGTCAGGCCAATATTTTGGCTGCATCGTCTCCAGAGGATTAATATTCAGAAACCATGAGTTGTTAACCCTTTGGCTCAGTACTATGGATATCACAACCCTTCGGCCTTGATTCCATGATACCTAACATAAATCTGGGAGAAATGTTGCTTTTCTGCCTACAACCACCCCCCCCCCCCTTTTTTTTTTTCTTCCCTTCCCCCCCCCCCTTTTCAGCGTAAACCCGGGCCTCAAGGAGTTCATCACCCTGTCACTGCACAGTCAGGTTTAACTAACTGACTAGCTGAGCTAGCGAGCTGGGCCTTCTAAGGTACATAGATGTGTGCAGGGATTAAAAAGCAATTTACTGCAGAGAGGTTAAAAGCTAGGCGTCTCAGAAGAAACAGATTAAAAACATGTGATGGCAACAATGGTCCTGAAATTCCATGCTCTAACCATGGAATACTTGTCTTAACGTAAGCGGGTCTTGCTAGTCTTGCTAGTCACACTTACCTTCATTGTGAGCTATATGTGCCATGCCTTCCTTAACAGAATACAACACTTGTACCTGGAACTTATCACAACTTATCACAGACATCAGAAGGAGACAGTCATAATTTTTTGGCCATGTTATGAGAAGAGGGAAAATGGAACATGTTGTGACCACTGGAAAGATCTGTGGAAGGAGGGGCATGACAACAAGAGAAGAATTTCGACAGTCTTGTTGCATGGCATGGAGGTGTGTCGGCACACAAACTGATACATGCTGCAGGAGATTGCAGATTCTGGCGAGGCATGATTGCCCATGCCAGGCACTTGATGATGATGATGAGTACGTGGAAAGATAGAAAGGTGCCAATCTTAAATGTTGTGTACATGTGGCTGCAAAGTCAACTGTGTCCTGTTCTAACAATTAACTTGCTCTGGTCTTATATGCTTTGTATGAGATGTTTCTCTGTACTGCTTGGGACTGCCTTATGTTTTTAGAAAGAAGGCAAGTTATCCCAGTACTTTGTTTGCTCTTCAGAATTTTAATTTCTTGCTTCAATCTGCCATTCAGCAAATGTTGTTCCTAGACATTTAAACTTGGATACCTGTTTCATACCTTTGCAATCTACTACTACTATGCTTCTGAGATCTACAGAGAAGAGGATGACAGCACTTAATGGACTGAGACTAAAGTTCAATGAGGATAATCTGTCGACTAATTAACTAACTGTGCTACTGAATACAAACAGAGGAAGCAAAAGAAGAAGAAGAAGAAGAAGAAGAAGAAGAAGAAGAAGAAGAAGAGAAGAAGAAGAGAAGAAGAAAAAGGAGAAGAAGAAGAGGAAGAACCGTCCCAGAGATCGAAAAACCATGACGGAGCTTGTCTGAGATCTTATATGTGCGTACATACTAAAAAACATGAGAAATAATATACAGAAAAAAGAAACTTTGGCATCTTACAGTTTCAAAGCCACGGTGTGGATGATCAGGAAACCCAGCAGGTGCCTTCCCTTTAAACTCATCCAGCAGCAGAAAAGGATCAAAGTTTCTGAGCTGCAAAGAAAACCAATATTGCATTATCCACATTGACTGCATCAAAGGCTGGGAAATATCAACTTCAGTATGCTTTAGTTAGTTAGTCCAGGTTTCAACATCACCACAATCGGGTTTCCCCATATTTGCTCTGTTCCTGTGCCAGTGCAAAACAAATGAAATGTCCCTCACTGTTGCATATGAAAAACTCGTGAATAAACAACTAGTTTCGGAACAATCAGAAAATATGAGCACCCAGAAAATGCGTATTTCAGTTGCTCAAGGCGGCAAAACCAACAATTGTCACCAGAAATGCAGTCTGTCATTGATGGAGGTAGTCGTGCATGACAAGTTGGTTACTATACACACACGTAGAATTTTTACATAAGGTATTTCACCAGCTCACACTTAAACCTGACCACCGACCATATTGAACAAAACGACACAACAGCTGCGCAAATGAAAGTCATTCCATAGGAAAAACACAGCTCACAGGGCTTCACCCAAGCATTAAACTCAGTAGCTCAGGCAGCAAAACCGTGGACTACCGTCCTTATGTGGAAACTGCATTAGCAAAGTGCTGTCGGAAGCAAAAATAACTTCAAAGCTTAACATTCTGTCAAGCCTTTCCTGCATTTTAGCCGGAAATCCAAAGTATGCTTTAAAATCGTAACAAAGCAAGCATTTGAAATATAAACATTACACTAGCTAAACAGTTGAAAGGGGAAGAAGGATTATCAGAAAAAAATCATGGACCAAAAATGAAAGTGACATTCTAAAAGATCCGAAAATCAATTGAGTTGAGTTGAGTCAAGAGTTGACATCACAACACTCTGTGCATTCCCATGCATGCTCCGTCCTCATCTTCAGCAGCCAGCACAGAGTTCCAATACTGATGGTACTGGTCACAATCTGGTTACATGTCTGTCTTGCCTTTCCTCTGAGTGTAGTGAGCTGGCTAGACCCTCTGGTTACACACAGGTGCCTCATTCTCTCCAGGCCATAATAATCTTCTTTCTCTGCTGATTCCGCTGCTTGTTCCCAAAGAGACTTGACTACAACTGCCTTGTCATGTATCAATTCACCACCCAGTGGAACAGATCCAGCCAATCTGTCTGCCTGTTAACTACCCACCATGCCGGCATAGCCTGGAGAAAAGATCCAAAGTATGCTCACTACCCATTACCTTTCCAGTGAAGCTTACCACTCTACTCAAAGCATCCCTGTCTTCACCTTTCTCATCATGCTTTCAGAGTCTGTTACAAGTACAATATGTGTATGCATTTTGTTCTCTAGCCACCAGAGAGCTCCATTTACCACCTCCACCTCCATTCTCATGCTAGATGTAGTGGTGTCATATACTAAGCTGTGATGCACTAAAGATTTTACATTGGCTTTCGCTACAATAATTAAGACTGGCTAGTAAACAGCACCTTGCCTCAGAAACTGAAATATTTTTCACAGATCAAATATAGTGGATTGGAAAGAACTCTAGCAGACAGCATGGTACCAGGAAAGAGGAGCAGGACCAGCCAACATGAAGATTGGCAAAAAATATGAGGCACCTTGGGTAGAAAAGTGCAGGAGGTGGGAGAGCTGGTTTCTTTGAGATGGGTTGTGATGACAGAGATGTTCTGTAAATGAGCTGCTATAGGAGGATGAACTAAACAGCATTAAAACGTATGGCTGGGCACTAGCAAGCAAATAAAAGTCAAAATTCTGACAGCAAGAAGCCTCTTCTTTCCTGCAGCAACATAAGGATGTGGGCTGTCAATTATCTCGACATTTTTAAGGAAGAAAATCAGGGCTTTTGAGCTGAAATGCTATAGAAAGATTCTTACAATACAATGGACTTCTGGCCAAAATGGAGGAAATCCTTGGCAGAATGTTTAGCTTCAAAGTTATTTTTGCTTTCAACAGCGCTTTGCTATTGCGGTTTCTACACAAGGACGGCAGTCTACCGTTTCGCTGCGTGAGCACTGAGTTTAGTGCTTGGTTGCAGCCCTGTGAGCTTTTTTCTTCTTGTGGAATGCTTTTCATTTGTGCAGCGGTTGGGTCATGGTAGCCGGTTTAGGTGTGAGCTAGTGAAATAACTTATGTAATAATTCTACGTGTGTACAGTAGCCAACTTATCGTGCCCGACTACTTCCATCAATGAGAAACTGCATTTCTGGTGGCAACTGTTGGCTTTGGTGCCTCCAACAACAGAAATACACATTTACGGCAGGCGCCTACTTGTGGATTGTTCCGGGACTAGTTGTTTGTTCACAAGTTTTTCATTTGCAACAGTGAGGGACATTTCATTTGATTAAGAAATGTTGGGAAACATTTCAAACTCTCCCATTGGGCTCCATTTCTTCCCCTTTTTCTCCCTTTTTTTCTGTTCTTACAATTT